AGCAAGGCGCAGTTTTCGTATTCAAAATATACTCATTCCGAAGGAAGTTATGGCGAGTAGAATTTAGAAACGCTTGATTTTTCCAAAATTCACCAACGCTTTCACCTCCTTTGGAAAGAAGTCTGAGCCTATTTTTTAGCGCACAATAATTTACAAGAACAGTATTATCGAATAGTACTTAGTAAAGTCTTCTATGTTGGGTAGGCGTTGCTTCACATATTCGCGAAAGGACCTCCGCAGAACAAATTGAAAAAACTGGAAACGGAATATCGAAAACATCGTACCCCCACTTCCAATACATCAGAAGATTCTCCGCGCCGAGCTGAATCGAACGGTGGCCTTGGATTCAGAATTCGTCCACTCTGAAGCGAGATATGGCCACGCGACGCTGATGTATGGTCATGTCCATATATGTATGGACATGTACGGACATGTACGGACATGTCCATACATGTACGGACATGTCCATACATGTATGGACATGTCCATACATGTATGGACATGTCCATACATTCGCGTCTTTTTTTCAAAAAATGTGAGCGGTATTGTACATAAACGCCATACAAGTTAATAATTTACCTTTGAAGGATATTCGACAGTTTTAAATGCACTTAGTTGCCGCAAATTAAATGATTTCCTTAGAGGAGACACTGACAATCTATCAGATGAATTTTTTTCTAATACTTTGCACAATTACTCCATTTTCAATGATAATATCATTTATTTTACATGCGAAGAGACGCCCAACCAATTATTCCTGACCAAGGTATGCAACGCATCATAGAATTGCTTCACTATAATCCTTTCATAGCTTCCCATGTTGACATTATGAAAACTTAAAAGGCCATGGAAGCTAAATATTTTTGGTCTAACATGAGCACGCAGATAGCTAATTCATCCGAACTTGTCCTATCTGCCAGAAAATCAAAACGTTCTGGCCAAATTATCCGCGAGGAATTGGGAACTCTTCCATTAGCTCAATTCATCCGAACTTGAACTATCTGTCAGAAAATCAAAAGGTTCTGGCCAAATAATCCGCGAGGAATTGGGAACTCCTTCAATACCTCAGCGACCATAGCGCATGCATACTGACATCGTACCTCTTCGTCAATCTATCATGGAACTAAATTTATATTATCACGGTATGTGCATTCAGTAAGTTCATAGTGTGTACTCCACTCCCAGATGAACTGACCGAAAAATTCTAGCATGAATCAACGAAATTTTAAGAGCTTCCAACGTTTTTGCGACAAGCTACAAACATAAAGCAAACCGTCAAGTAGAGCGATTAGTCAAGGTCATCACTGATTCGCTCACTTTTTACTGTTCAGCGCGCGATTACTAGTCTGGCTTTCTCTAGCCTGTTGTTTTTGCATACAACTCGAGCATAAATGACACAACTGGACACAGTCCATACTTCGCCGTCTACGGACGTCATCCTATTACGTGGAGCAATATCGGTACCAGGTACCATCCCGCATTTCGTACGCAACTGACTGCTTTTTCGATCAGCTCATCACGACCATGCAAACAAAAATTATGGATTTAGGAAACCAAACTGCTAGTAAAACAGCAAAATATAAGGCAGGCTACGATTAGCACCAAGTTTTTTTTTTTGAAAAGTTCCACTGGGAATCTCGTTCTGTTAAGTTCATCCAGAATTTTCAATATATTGGAAGGGTCCTTCTGTAGTAGAAAGTGTGAACAGACCTAAGATCACTATCAAAAATGTGATTGGTCTCAAACCCTTCAGACAGTTCACATCAACAGATTGGAGATTTATGCAACTCTTTTTACATTGGCCATCGCTAGTCTAACCCCTACACCAATTTCGCCTAACACATCAGAAACGTCAGAAAATGAAGAACATCCTAATCTTCGTCACTCTACGTGTCTTCGAGACCGGCGCAAAATTCATGCCTTCATCTCTTCCCATTCTATTGAGTTGTCCCGTAAGCCTTTTCGTTTTTGAGTTTTCGCTGATATATTAGGTGGGTGCAAAAGTTCTGTCGTTTCATTTTCAAAAATTTGTAATTTCGCCAGATTGAACGGATTTGCTTGCCTGTATTTTTGTTAAAAAGAATAAATCTTCCGCTTTCAAGCGCTTTTTTGTGAAGCTTCTGTTTCACACTGCGTGCCGAGATAAAAATGGAAAACTAAGACCATGTAAACTTTGACCATTTTAAGTTAGGTTACCAAAAATCTGGAATGCTGCAGAAAAATCTAAAATCGTCAGTACATATGTTTTTTGGCCTACTCTTTGCGATTGTGAAGTGTTTGTGCTGTTTGGACGTCTCTGTGAGAAGTTATGATTTTCGCGAAAATTCACAAATTAATCGATTTTGGCGTTTTCCATGGTAAACTCGATATTCATAACATCTCACGGAGACGCTCAAACAGCGCAAACTTTTCACAGATGCAAAGTGTAGGCCAAAAAACATATGTACTGAAGATTTCAGATTTTTCTGCAGCGTTCCCGATTTTTTGTGACCTAACTTAAAATGGTCAAAGTTTGCATGGCCTTAGTTTTCCATTTTTATCTCTGCACTCAGTGCCATACAGAAGCTCCTCGAAACAGCGCTTGAAAGCGGAAGACCTATTCTTTCTAATAAAATTACATGCAAGCAAATTCGTTGAAATTTGGCGAAGTTACAATTTTTTGAAAATAAAACGATAACACTTTTGCACCCACCTAATAGATCATATACTTCACAATCTAAATACACATCAGAATACCTTTCGATGGAGCAACAAGCAATTGAGAATTTTTTATCTTCGTTCAACAAAAGGTTCACAGATCTCTCACTTGCTCACGCGTATTCACTCCACATCAGACACTCATATGTGCTGTTGCTGTATTTTTTTTATCAGCTAGAAATCAAGAAAACGAAAATTTGCATATTTTCACCGAAGTTATGCTGCGCTGTCTTACACTAAATGTTATACATTACAAGTCCTTAGAAGTAAAATCGTTAAATTTTTAGCTCTCTATAAGGTTTTATTTCCGAAAAATATCGAATTTAGCTTTCTTCACTCGCGTTGTTCACAAATAATCCAACATTTTTCGAAAACCAGACTTAGAGAGAGCTAAAAATTTACAGTTATACTTCTAAGGGCTTGTAGTATACAGCTGAACAGCCGCGTGAGAACAGCACAGCATCACTTTGGAAAAAATATGGAATTTCGTTCTCTTGATTTCAAGCTGATAAAAAATAAAGCAAAAGCACATTTGAGTGTCTGATGTGGAATGTATATGCGTGAGCGAGTGAAAGATCTGTAGACTTTTTTTAAACTGCGATATAAATAATTCAATTTTTTGGCACCCGAAACTTTTAAGATGGTTTCGAACTTGTGGTGGAACAAAGCTGGTGTAAAAGAATCAACAACGTCTTATAGAGCTTGCTTTGCTCTATCATGGCATCGTGACTTCTGAAAGTGTACGAATTATCAGAGCGAAAATTCAAATATGAAAAGACCTATGGGACAACCTAATAGAACACCCATAACTAATAATCTTGTAAATTTCGCAGCTATTGATCTCTAGTAAACATTTTTTTGTTCTTTTTCTCAGCGTTACTTCAGTTTTTTTTTCTAACCGTCACACTCACTTCCTTGAAAAGGCGACTTACAGAAGTTAACAATAACTTATTTTTTTGCGTGAAAACAAAAAGAAACCGCATCGCACGTTCTTTTTTGGTCACTTCTTAAACTTCGTCCAGGTATTCAAATTACCCAGTCGATTTGTGACTAACTGAACGCCTGCTTTATATTCTTTCTGCACCTTCGTATATATTCAACTTTTTTCAACAAATCTTTCGAATCTGTAATTTCCCCATACACACATTTTTATTCTGTTTTACTGCTCCTCCATATGTGCATTTTTATGTGTTTTTCTTCCTCAGTATGCACCGCAGTAGTTCTGCTAGACGTATGCAATGCACAACAATGATGAATGTCACTCCACTTCATATAAATCACCCTCCATTCCCCACTTCTACAACAGCATACTACAAATTTCTCGTCGTCCATGCCCTGTTACCGACTCACCTGCCACTCACCATACCATCACGATGACATTGACGTTTTCTGATTGCTTCAAGCGATTTTCCCTTTCGTTTGCCCACCTTAGCTCAAGGAAGCGACCGGGATGATGACCACCAATGATGACGAATAGGTCGCCACTGTCTAGGCAGTTCATCTATTCTTCTGCGGATTAGAGCCTTATGCAAATTGGACAACATTACTAGCTTATAATGGGAATGGAGATATGGGGAATAACCCAGCCCGATGTCAGTTGCCGGCTGGAAGCAGAGTCATCTGCTGCGGCTCAGTGAAAACGGGAGCACCGGAGACGACAAGCTCGCCTCACATCCTCTCACTCCCCCCTTTATATATCAACCATATCTTAATCCTAGTAAACATATATTTATAATTAAGTCTATAATTACCTCGTACCGCTACAGTCAGGCAAGGAAACTGCAGCCCTTGAACCTGACAGCCAAAAACTTATGCAAATAAAAACGGAACCTGGGGAATCCCCGAACCTATTCTCTGATAGGGTAAGACAAAAATATTGAGGCTTATCCCAATGCAGACCAAAGAGATGAAGGAGAATTCCTCACCGTTCTGACTAATGGACTCTCTACTAAAATCGAAAAAAATCGCAATCTTTGGGTCCTTTACCAACAGATTACGAGACTCTACTTATGGAGGCAGAACGAAGCCATCAAGTAAAACGGAAGAAAACGCCATTGGAGATCCATTTTAATGCAAAAGTTGATGGAATCTCAATAATTTGCGCCCTAAACCGATAACTGCTATTTATTATATACAAGCGTTACAGACATTGTTCTCAAAAGCAGATATGCGGTCTGAGGTTAATAACATGTCATGTTATGCTTTTTTTACATGTGCAGTGATTTTCACACATTTTTAGAGATTTTGAGAAGCCGAAGACCAATATATTGATGCTGCGATACTCACTAAACGATGATAAAGACATCTTTTATTGATTAAAAAATACAAGAGAAAAATTCAAGCACGACAAGTAAGATATCACCAGTGTTTTGCAATACAATAGCCGACAGCAATCACAAACATTCCATCCGATATCAAAACTTGAGCAAACAATCAAAAAATTTGTTGCATCAATGTATGGAGCAAATAATCCGGATGGTTAAGCTATTCTTGCATGATTATTAGATTTCTATTCACAATGCAATGATTTTTACTCTTATCACATTTATTAAAGCTTTACATCAAGAAAAGTGTGTTAAGTATAAGGCCGCTGTAGTGAGAAAGACGAGCAGGCAAACAGTGTGTTTGGTTATAATCTGGAAGTGGACGAAGCAGACTAGCATGAGCAATTTAAGTACTTGGTAACGAATTAGATGTAACGGCAGTTGTTATTAGTGGTATTCCTTTTGTTCTTATCGGGTCCAAGTGGAGCTGCCAAAAGCTCAGGATTGCGCTCCATCACCCGCATAATCTAAAGAGGATAAATAAAGCTTATGCCATAAAAAATGAGAGCGACCTTTGAGCTTTAAGTGAATGAGAGTGATTTACAACACTCCAGTTATGGCTATTTTGACGAGAAGAAAGTGTAGAACTCTTTACAGAGCTAGGGCGACAAAAAATTCTTCTAATAAAAGCCGCAACATCAGCTCTTTTAAAAATCAATGAAGATTCCTTCACAAATATTTTTCGAGTTTAGTTTATACTAAAGGCAGTGTCTCTGCAAATTTTCGTTTTCTACCGCCTTTTCCGCGCTTTCTCGCCATAAGAAACCCATTAGGATTTTCAGCACATGAAAATGGCGAAAATGAGCTTTTTCCGAAGCTTTCCAGGTCTGCATTCAGTGGAAAATACGCGCAAGTGGGCGGGGCGCGAAAGGGTTCCGGTTTATCATCACTGAATGCGGACCAGGAAACCTTCAAAAAAGCTCATCTTCGCCACTTCCATGCGCTGAAAACCCAGATATGGATTCCTCCTGGCGAGAAGACTCCGAAATGGTGAGAAACTGGAAAACCAAGTTCTGCCGAGACACTGCAGGACTTGTAACTGGTGGGTTGAAATAAAAGAGGGGCGTTCGAGTGAGGACCAAAAATTATACAGACTTCCAAAAACTTCCAAAATATTAGCAAAAAAGAACTGTTTGTGAGGCACGACTTAAGAAGGTGAATAGTATAAAAACTTACCAGATTGTCCATATACTCTTCCATATCACGTAGACGAGATTCTTTTACTCGCAATTCCAAGCGTAGACTGTCCACTAATGCTAGCAAGTCCTGCTGAGACGCAGTGTTCTCATCGCTTCGTCTTTTCTGTAAAGAAAACATTTTTGAAAAAAAGACGCAATTATGTTCGAAGCATCCCTTTCATTGCAAGGAGATGTGGAAAGCCTCAATCAAAAACTAAAATTTTAGGTTCTAATTCCCAAGGATGATAGAGCAGAATAACTCAATATTTTGATAATATAGTACACATTGTCTAAAGAAAAGAAGAGTGGTGACCTTTTTTTATTCTCGTTGAATGATTTGACATATCTAGTTTTGGCTTTTGAGACGCCAGTCGGAATTCCAAGCAAGGTCCGCGCACTTTTGCGTACCTGAGCTTCTCAAGTGGATGACTGTGTCGTACACACTATGTCACTGCCCAAGCATTAGCTCACAAGATTTATTCGTGTTTGAAAAAGTCAGCGCTAGGTTCTCGCCCAGACCGTAATCACAGACCAGTCAGTGTCCACCAGACAACGCTGGAGCCCGCAAAACTTTGCTTTGGGCGAATTTAAAGCTGAATTTCTCGGCCATAAATAAACCAACAGAGCTGCTACTTGGGCCAAGATTTATTCAAGTACTCCTGGTATCCACAAAAGAAGCCTAACTACCCAAAATTACCTGGACATTCTCTGATAGAAGCTTCGCAATACAACCCAAATTTCGTTTTCTGTTTTTCTATGAAATATAAACGAACACTTAAAAGCTTAGCACAACACCAACACCGAATACCGGAGAAGCTAATCGACTCCTCTTGAAGTCGGGTTTGCTCAAGAAAGTAATAAATAAGAAACATGCATTTCATGATAGTGATGGCCATGATTACAAAGTAACTTACAATCCGCATCGATCTCAATTTTCGCTTCACTACCTTTACAGGGCGCATAATTACCTCCTCCTATAACAGGAATTTAGCTTTACTGAAAAGTGAGCAATTCTATGTCTTTCCCTAGTTTCGATTTCCTCATGAAACTAGTTCAAAAGCCATTACTCCACTATATATACACAGACTTTTTCAGCTTTTTGAGTGACTGAAGACTAGAATGCGGAACTGGGTGGCGGCGCCACATAATTGCGTTCCGAACTGGCTTATTGCAGGTAGATGTAAACAACAGACTCTCAAACGACTCTGAAGAGGTTTTGCCAAAAGTTTTCGCAGTTTCCTTTTTTGGAATCGTTTTCGCACATTCAAGAAGTCTACAAGCCCGATTCCTTCACTCCGTATTGTGACTACATCTCTGATGAAAAATTACGGCAATGACAGCTTTGAATGTCAGACACATTACATGCCGCCAAAGACCACTAATTTCATCGTTTATAGGGTCTCAAGAAATCTGACGTCTCTCTTTGAGAAAAATCTTAATGTCCTGTTGTCTTAACAGGACATTAAGATTTGCTGCTTTCTTTGGAAAAAGGTTGATTCATGGCATCACTCACCGCTTTCTACTCAGGTGCGGTCACATAGTACCAGCGGAAGGAGGAGATCATCAAGTGACGATTACTTAACTACTCACACTAAATCTTTCTTCTTCTTTCTCTCTCTGGTTTATGAAGGTTCTCATACCCTGATACTTGCGTATAATGGTTGCGAGGATACTGCCATACAAAATCAGATTTTCAAAGTTATTTATCTTCCTACAGACTCAATGAAAACGTAGTAAAATTGTGTTGATGATATAATATGGCACTGCTAAACATTTTATAGTGGAAATAAGTGAAATTCTCGATATCCTAAAATTCAGGATATCGCAATTTTCGATGAACCACTGCTCGCGAGCTAAGAATTATCGAAGAATTTGCAACTTTAGATCCTACTTCTCCTATCAAAAACATGCTTAGCAGTGCCGTAGTATATCCTCAATACAATTTTATAGCGTTTTCATTGATTCCAAGAAGAAAAAGGACTTTGAAAATGAGAGGTGGTCCTCTAAAAATTCCCAGAAAATCACACAAGATAGTGAGAATCTGATCTGTAGGGCAGTGCCTTTGCAACCATTATGCGCAGATATCAGAGTATGAGAACCTTCATAAGCCAGATAGAGGAAGACGAAAAAATATCTAGAGTAACAAAATAGGACGCGTCTCCTCTCAGATCCCCTCCCTTCCCCGCGGGGATGTACGTGCATACGGGCCTAAGTAAAGAGAGTGCTAATTTTGCGAACCATGATAAGAAATATAGTTTTGCTATTTTGTATTGCTACGGACAGCTTTATGTAATTACGTTTGTTTAAGACAACCTTTGCTCGCGAAAAGAGGGCCGAGAACTTCCAATACAAAGTGTGCCGGTTTTTTATAGAAAAAACTAGTTTTCGGCGACTTTACATAAAATGAACGGGAAACTGAGTGATTTTTGGCTGCCGCTTGTATTTCTGAAACTGTTTCCATGTAAATGTTCCAAAAGTGCAACTGCAAAGCCGAGACTCGTTCGGAAAGTTTTTTTGGACGAGGCAGATCCGTTACGAGTTTCCAGCAACTAACGGATAGAACATCGGCGATCTAACTGGCAAATTGAGCTTATAAAAGCCTGCACTCAGAGGCTGTATTGGTAAAAATATAAATGGAGACTTATGGTTGCGTTCACAGTCGACCGAAATGCCAGTGCTTCTAAACTGTGTCGAAGCGCTGCACCTATCTGGTGAGACTTTCCAAAACACAGAAGCTGGAAACAACATAATGAGAAGGAAATATTGGAGGACGAGAAGAGGAAAGAACAGAAGGAAGCCTTTTCTCTGCACAACAGTCGTACCAGTCACCACCACCGAGCAAAAGTTGGCCTCTTCGGCCTCAGGCAAGGTTCACGCGATTTGATTGTCGCGATTCAATCGCGACAAGACAACTGTTACAAGTTCATTGCATGCCGACCAGCTTGAATTTCGATTGTGATACTTTTCAGCTCGAAATTTTTGGATGTAAAATGAAAATCAATGAAAATCGCGGCGATTGCATTGCGACGATCAAATCGCGTGAACTCTGTCCGAGGCCTCCAAGGGAGAAGTGGAAGCGGAAATGAGTAAAAAAAATGGAAAGAGATGCAGGAAAAGAGAAAAGAGCTGTCGCAAAAGAAGAATGCCCCTATGTCCACTTCTGGCAGAGTTCCAGAACAGTTCTAGAACATTTTTCAGGACCATGCAGACACTTTGGGTCGACTATGAACGTAGCCTATGCCCAGTAGACATAACATATCTTGAAGGTCAGGGAACTAACTTCTGATCTGATTGCATTAAGTCGTTTAACTATAAAACATCAATCGTTCAGAATAAACTGACGTTTCCAGGGTAGAACAAAAAGCAGCAGGGTAAAGCAGCTGGGCAGTGAGAAAAATTTTTTCCCAAAAAAGCAGGTCGTAACAATAAATGGAGCATAATAATGCAATAACAGCTGCAATATTTCTTACACTCCTGCTACATGGAAAGTGGTCTCATAATTCTTACGTCTGGAAACGTGTTCTATCGATAAAAAAAGCCCTAAGCGAATGTAATCATGGTCAGCACTCATGCCACCTACCACTTGTTTATTGGATCCTCCAAAGCCAGAAGATGCTACGCTTCTAATGCTGTTCGCTCTGTGGAACGATTCCGCTGTAGATGCCTGCAACCGATCACACCGATAATGCAAAACAGAGTAAAACAACGAAGATACCCCGGAGGAGGTACAAACACAAACACTTTACAGTCACGTAGATTTTTTGTTCAATGTAGTGTTTGCGGTGCCGCGAAAACGCGGTAAAATTTGCGCGTGAGCAGTTTAGCAGCTCTGATAATGCCGGAATTTTGCGCACGCAAGTGACAGGCGTCATAGGCGTAGTTATCTGTTCACGCGCATTTTCTCGGCACCGCAAGGGCACCATTTTAAGCGAAAAATCTACTTGACTGCGTAAATAAAGGACAGAAGGAGAGGCACTGCTAACACAAAAGAAGCAGAAAATCGATCAAAAATAAATAAATAATCAAAAACTGACGGTAGGTGAGCCGGAGATATTCTGAGTAAACTGAGCTCCTTGAGCAGCAGGCGTAGAAATGGAAAGTGGATTTTGTGGAGTGTAAGTCTCCTCGCTGAAATCTATCCCGCTTAATGCCGAAACAGGCCGAGAGGCGTTATTGGATCTGAAAAAGACAGAGAATAGTTTTTCATCAAAAAAGTTGCTTAAAAACCTCTTGCACGCGATGAGAAATTTATCTTGACTAATGCAAATATAGACTTTTTTGTCCTGGTAAAATCGCAAAAACTTTTGCGCAGCTCAAACACTCACAATTTCTTAGGATTTTATTTTTGAAGGGTTCTATTCAAGTAATCTGAAGAGCTTAAGAGCGTTCATGTCACATGTTAAAATATTTTGCAACCTATAGGTCGTCAATAGAAGCTTCTGCAGGCGGTACAACCTCGCTAAAAAGTGCGCTGCGCGTAATCGCGTCTGCGCGGCGAAGGTTTTTGCGACCCATGGAGCCTTCTGGCTATAGAAGTTCCTACGGACTATTAAAATGTCCCATCGTAACACTCAACAGCCTGATAGTACCAACAACGAAAAGATGGATGGCATTCGCGTAAAGGAGACAAAAACTGGCCGCCACTTTCTGAAAACAACTTACACCAGGCTCTACCACTGTGTTGTGCTGAAGGCTTTGTAACAAACTAACTCCCCCCCCCCAGCCCTTTCTTCCCCGCACAACTTCCAACAAGTGATATCAACCTTGGAAGTTCATTCAGTCAAATCAACTACAAGTATTTCATACCATAGTTTTCTTTAGAAAATGTATTAAAAGTTAATCCGAAGGGTTTGATATGAAGTTTCTTTCGATAAATGCCAAAAATCAATAGAACTATGGAATAAATTATATTTTGGAACTGCATGCGCAAAAAAAAAAACGATTCAAACTGGTTTTGAATCTCATTTGTAATCAATGTGTGGTAAATTTAGTGATTATTTTTAGGGGCCTTCGTCAGGAATTACCTGGTGTTCAAAACGATCTTGACAAACAAATCGCTGTCATGATTTTTTCAATTTCCAAAAAAAAAATACTCATACCTTTCGTCGCGCATACGAACTGCGCCATTGCTTGTGGGTGGTGCAAGATGACCATTTGATTCAAAAGATGAATTTACATCGTTGGATGAATCAGAAACGTCCTTCTTCGATCTAGGAGACAAATGTTTACAATCTATGATGATTGAATAAAATTAGGTCTTTACCTTCCAATCGTTTTAATCTTGCTGATGAAACGACTGCTTCGTGAGCTGGCCATGCTGATTCCACTTATCCCACTAGCCATCGACATGGTATCTTCAGCTTGTTTATGTTTTCCAACTTTCAACTTCCTTTTCATTTTGTCCAGCATCCCGTCTGAAAAAAAGTTGATAAAGGGCTAAAAATATTTGAAGTTAACAACCCTCTAGGTGAGATTCTAAATAGGCAAATAGGAGAAGGTCCTCGCAATGAAAGTCAAGAAAACAGGGTCATTGAGAAGGTTCGCGAGCTGAGTATAAATGCCGATTAGAAGTTTATACAACTAGTTTTTCGCATGGGCGATCCTTTAAGGTATGCAATGCTCGACGCAATTGAGAATACTGAATACATCTAAAGGAAAATATAAATCGCTTGCTGAACTATGCCCAAATAAGCCGATGCACATGACATTTCCATTTAAGCTTGTAAACGTTGTATAATCGAAGTTGTCACAAAACACGATATCGAACAAATTTCAGTATAGAAGCACAAGACCAGCACCTATTAGCACCACACCCAAATTTTGCTAAAGTATTGATTTTATCGATCTGCATCACTACTCTTACTCGCTATCATTTCCGAGTATCCTCAAGTCATTTGTAATTTAATATGCGTATTGAACGTACACGCTATCTAACGAAATTGTAATTCCAGAACCTGCTCATTTCCAGTATTTCCCCTTGTTTCCTTTTCTTTTTTGATTTGAACGGTTATTATCAGTTAGTAGTACGCATTTCCACAGTTCGTTACGCTAGAAAATTTTACAGAGGAGCTACTCGTTAGGGTGACGTCGGTTGCCGCGTGTAGTGTGCAGGCTCACATATTGAGTAAGAAATGACTAAACGATACGCAGTATATTTGTATGAAGAAGGAGGAGGAGGAATAGAAAAACAAAAAAAAAATCATGGGCCTTCTTCTAGCGCCAAAAGCAAGCATGGTATGGAACCATTCTTAATTTGTGTCAGATGTGTTTTATACTTTCTGAGTTATATTTATACTATTGAACTCATTTTAAGTAATTTTTTCACTGTTTTGTGGTGATTACTTCATAGAATGTCGTTTCTACAGATGATAAATGAGCAAAAATTAGAAAAAAAGGTGTCACAGTTCATTTAAAGAGATCCAGAAAGATAGCTTAATTGATTCAACTTAGCAAGTTTTTGAGACTAACTGATATCGTCAATAGTACATTTTATAATTCAACCACTCCAGCCAGTAGGAATTAGGGGTAGGCAGATTTTCAAACGAAGACTTACGAAAAGGCAGTTTCCTTGCCATTCGTTATACCAGTTAAGTATAGATTTAAATGAAATAAGTCACAAATTCCTAAAAATTGAAAATCCAGAGATCATGAGTCACACCTGGTAGATTACTATGATAAAATCTTCGAAGAAAAATGAAAAAGGTACTGGTAAATTACGACTCCAAAATAACGCAGATAGGACTAGACGAAAATGATCATTCTCGTCTTGACATTAAGAAAAGAAAAGAGGGAGGAATAGGGTCATATCATAGAGAACGCGATAAAGAGATGTTAACTCAATTCAAGAATCTGCAAATGGCGAAAAACCGCGGCGTGTCCCGAAGCGAACGCTCTTTCAAATAGCACTTTTAGATTACTGGTTTACTAGTCATACAGAACGTAACTATATCCACCCCAATATAGCAGAAACAAAAGTGATATTAATTCTCAGTTTTGCTGAAAACGACTCGACAGCCTAGCCGAGGTACGAACGGTCGGTCGGGGCGAAAGCACGAAGAGAATAATGAGAATGCAGTAAAGTTCATCGGCGGAGAAACAAAAAAGACAAACGTTCGAACAAAACTTCGGTGAGACTGCGGAATGGCGACAGAGACTTTTAGCAAAAGCACATTTATCGGAAGCAAAGTGTGAGAGATGTGTTCATTCTCTATCAATAGGGGGGAAAAGCTCTACGATAACGTGATTTACTCAATAATCACTGCAAATCAGGTCGGTCACGCGCAAGGAGGGGAAAGCGGATGAGTGTGAAAGGGGGAAAAAGTGCAGTAGACGCAAGCGACAATTGCTCACTGGTAGCCCCCCCCCCCTTCTCCGAAACGCTTTTTCTTCCCCCACTCGAGAGGCTTCTCAAATAACACTTACCTTTTTCAATTTTGTTGAGAGACGTGTTCGATATCGAAAGCGTCGGTTTCTCGTATGAAAACGTGAATTGCAGTTGTATCTCGCCTCTGTAGGAATAGGAATCAATGAAAGCTAGAAAATTGTAGGAAAATAAACAACAGAAAAATGAACAGCTGGTAACAGACGCTCTGCAAATAACAAATCTTGTCCATTACTCACCTGTATTTATCATCATCTTTCCTTTTCTTTAATGCAAACCACATGTGTCCACCAACTCTTTTGGCTTGCTCAATTGGAATTTCACATTTTCCAATAACATCTACAATAAAATTTTAATAAGCAACTTCAAAACCAAAAAATGGCAATTTACCTGCACCGCCAAACTTTGTTTTATGTGAAACAGTTACTGTAATATGAGAGGATTTGTCATTGAGTTTGCTGAAAAAAAAGCACATAATTTCATGAAATTATGGTATGTTCAATGACTAACAATTCACAATGTTCATCCCATCGACAATCAGCTTCTGTGTTTACCACTTCAGTTATGGCTCGACTTCGTAATGACCCTTTGCCATGAAGGACCACGGTAGCGAATGCGTCGAGGGTTACATGATTCTTCAAATACAAGCCTCGGGCACTTGCGACTGAAAGATTCCGTTCATTAGCGAAAATTGCCGCAAAAATAGGCAGAAGTACAGCTACAGCATGTCAGAAATGTATCGCCTTTCTTTTAAACATAATTAGGCGTAATATTAGCCATGAACTGAGAAAAGTATGGGAAAAAGCATGATGTTATTTTTCGCATGCTTTCAAATATTTACAAATTTCAAGATCCACGGTCACGAAAAGATTTACCAGCACTAGAAAAAGCTTAGCACGACTCGCGATCAAACATTACACAGTGTGTTTGATTCGTCCTTTTCCCGTTTAAAAAAAATAAACGGGCCCTTTAGTTAATTCTAACATCCATCAGATTCCTATGGAATGCTGACTGGAAGCTTTGTGGCAAGCCCTTGCTCAAGAACTGGGACAGCTCATACAATTCATTCGTGCCCAAAAATACCGAATTTTGAACCTTCGCCCAGTACCGTACCCGACAGCTCTGATTAGTCAGCGAAACGAATAAGATCTGGGCAAAAGTAGAGTCGAACTTCTCGGTCATGATTGAATCATATGAGCCGCGGCTTGAATGGGCTTAATTAGGACTCCTCGATCAGCCTCGACATAAAAAGCTCAAGCCAAATCCGCACTTCAACATTACAGATGTGGAGCTTGACAAGCGTTTTTCTCTTAATAAGTTAAGGGTTTCATACTCCAGTCCACCCTCACTAATCAAACTCAAGATTAAGGAATTTTCACCAATTCCTCAGAAAGCAAAATCCAATCAGCTTTTCTTTGATCAAACTAATCTTTTCAAGGATCTGAGCCTCCTAAAAAGACATGAACATTATCCGACCGCTTTTTTACATGTACCGGACGTACAGCACATTCCTATTTCTCATAGGATTAGCTGGGAACTAGGTGTTGTCGCTTTTTGCAGACACCCATTTGCACACGATCGTTCGTCACATCGAAGTGCGTTTCGCCCGTCACAAGCGGACTTTCACGATGTAACGCGGGATCGTGCAAATGTGAGTGTTGCAAAAAAAACCGCACCATTGCACTTAGCCACCTTAGAGAAAAGTGCAAAAGCAGGGGATTTCTGAGTCTTAGATCAGTTCAGGAAAAGCTCAACTTTCCACATCGTCAGAGGAGATAAGAGTCGAGGGGTGGGCGTTTACGAAAATCATAGGTTATTATAGGTCCTGTCCAAGTTCGACTGTCGCTTAATCTCGGCATGTTCTAGATGCTTCTTGTGTCTTGTTTAGCTGGACACCGGGACTGGTATATCCCCTATTCGAACAACTTTTCGGCGATATCGCCTTCTTCACAGTCTGAAATTATCGGAAGCATAAGTGAACTAAGGATATACCAATCTCGGTGTCCAGCTAAGTCATAACTAGTATTATAGGTCCTTTTTAGCAGAATTAGAAACTTGAACGCGACAAGAAGTGCATTATGCGTTGCATTTAATGCGACAAGTGACATGCCCTACACTTAGCTGGCATTCTTGCAGAGTTTACTTCCCTAGATATTTTATGAATTTTATTGATTTTTCAAATCCGGTTGCCATTTGAATACTGGAAATGAAACCAGTAAAAACAGCACAGTTTAAGAACATTCGGATTTGGAACACAGAGTATGAATGAAGTTCTAAATCTTATATATAAAGCTGAATGTCTGTCTGTCTGTCTGTCTGTCTGTCTGTATGTCTGTCTACCTGTACGTATGTGCGGAGTAGAAATTTTTATTTCTGAACCGATTTGGACCAAACTTGGCACACATATACTATGGGGCAGGAAGCGTGTCATAGGCTACTTTTCGTTGTCGATCGATATCGATTTTATCGATTTTTTGCAAAATTTGAGCTACAAGGCTGGGAGTTGGCACAGGGGGGTAATCGAGCATGCTAATTACAAATACATGGCGTCCCAAAAAAATGTTTCGAACGTTTGATCGTTAATATCTCTCTTCCCAAGAAGTCTTTTGCCTTGCTTCAGGTACCGCTGGCTTCAACTTAGATTTCCATTATAGAACAAATCACCCATCTCTCTTCATTACTGTAGGGTTACGGTAGAAACTTCAAAGAGGGTTTTGAACCATGAAAGGCCATATTTTGCCTCAGAAAGGAAACAAAACAGCCTGAAAACTTTAACACCAGGCTAATTAGAATTGCTGATTATAACTGTAAAGTTCCCAACTTATTATGATGCTTCATTGAAGAGTTATGCCAAATGAGAGGTAGCGGCCTTTTTTTCAATGTTCCTGAAAAGTGCGATTACACCGTTTAGAAAGCTTCGTAATCTTGTGCATAGTTGAGTATTGAACTCAGCGTCTATAAAAACCCTATTACACAAGTTTTCACAATTTTTTGAGAAATTTTGAAACAGCAGCTTTTTCCACATTGACACCATATGTTTCAAGTGTCTACCGTAATCCTACAGTAATGAAGAGAGATGGGTGATTCGTTCTATAATGGAATTCTAAGTTGAAGCCAGCTTTACAAAACGGTACCTGAAGCAAGGCAAAAGACTTCTTGAGAAGAGAGATATTAACGATCAAACGTTCGAAACATTTTTTTGGGACACCCTGTATATTATTGACAGGCCCGGGCGGAGCCGGGTTTGCCAACTAGTTATTCACTAAATATATAAGGTGGTTTACTAAATTTTGCAACTGATTTCGCAATTTTACGCTTTTTTGTGGCGGGCTCTTTTTTTATAAAGCAAATTATGAAGTCAATTACAAACTGGCACAAATCGCTCATTCTTTATGACCAAAGCTTCGCAACTAGTGAAGTTGGACGATTTAAAGAGTTATGAACTAAAACGAAGCCGTTCGCAAATGCACCGTGATCCGAAATTGTACTTGAATTACTGTTAGTGTTCGACTTTTAGCTAATAAGGAATTGGGTTTTGAAAACAAGACAAGACCAGGCACTTTCACGAATCTGAACGGTTGCACGCAAGGCAAGTTTCAACCAAATTTGCAATGATTTACAATTCTTACCTTGTACCGTATAGCTACCGTAACCCCCATTGTGAAGTCAGAATTTGTTACAGAAGTAACTATACCCTAACTTGTGCCATAATCTACACTATGACAGAAATTTGAGCGCGTCACATTTGGAGTGTGAAAAGCTATCAAAGAAGCGCAAAACAGACTTAATAATCTGATAATTCGCACGGGCTAAAAAAACTCAACTGATTGCTGTTAATGATAGAATTTGCTGACAATTATAGTGCCTTTAATATGACATAAGTGTGTTATAAAACAAATAAAGTATCCTGCTTCATAAGTCCTTTTTGTTGATGAAATGGCACGAATCAGAATTAAAATAAAGTGTAAATTTGTTCAAATAAGCTCAAAAAGGCTAACAAAAAAGTAAAAGACATTTTGTGCCTCTAAGCAAGGACGTGGTACTTCTGACATCTTTTCCTGCGTTTCCTCTACTGGTCAGTAGCAGTCAATTAGTTTCTGAAAAACTCCAAACAAACCTGCAGGCGGATACGGATCTTTTTACTTTTCTCCTCAAAAATCAAAAAGTTATAGTATGTCTCACATCTGCAGCGCTGCAAATGAAAGTCTCGAAAGTCTGCTTGACTAGAATTTTATCTAAGCAAGAAAATGCAAATAAAACCTAACGCGATTTGCTTTACAATGTACATCACATTCCATGGCTGTAAAAGCTTTCAGCTGGCGCAGCAGAAAGAATTGATTTGCGATATCGTCTAGGATCGAGGTTTAAGTTAAAAGTGGGGAAGGGGGGTCACGAAAAGAGGAAGGGGAAGAGACGGCTTAGAGCAACTTCTGATAAATGAGAAGTATTTCGCATTAGGAGGATCAAAAAAGCAGAAAAAATAGCAATCGCCAGGTTTCTACACCGTTTTGCTACTGATTCATTCAAAAATGTTTCCTTGCATATCAATGTCAACGCAGCAACATTATTTATTGTGAATATAAAATCAAAAGCCTTTTTTTCGCAGCACTTTCAGAGCAACAGAATCTCAGGGGTCCAAACTGTATGTATAAGCATTTAGATCCGATTACCTTTGACACAGCGAGCCTATGTAATCACTTGAAATATTAAAAGGGCCTCATTCGGCCCCTTCGGGTAGAGGACTATACGTCGCCGAAAAAGGGCGGTCTCCGCTCATTTGCGACAAATACCCATCCTTGTATATGGGTGGACATGCGTTCCTGCAGGAAATCCGTGCGGGACTCTTCCACATTCGGCGACATATAGTCCTGCACCCATTCCCTTCTTGTGACAGAAGCCCAGGGTTCGTTATTGTAAACATATATCGCAAGGAAATTGCCGTATGGCATTGGTTCTTGCTCACAATATTATTTTACGATCGTTTATCGAAGTCGAAACATTCTCGCAGCTCCTGATATGAATTGAGAACTACAAATTGATTGTAAATAACGAATTCCAAACGTAATTGCTAATTAGTGCCCTTTCTGCCACAGCAACAACCGAGAAAAAAGTATTGTTGCCAAATTTGCTAATCAATGATTCTCTGTTCCCATAGTCCTGATTACCGGGAAAAGTTTTTCAGTCTTTCAATTCTCTTTTTTTTATTTTAGATCCAAACTATGATTACTAACATATCAAAAGTTGGGATAAATGGTCTCATCTCTACAAAAAGAGCCAGACAAAGCAGCTACGAGCGACAATGAAAGAGAACGGATGATTCTTCCGTAACAGCTATTGTTATCTCTTTTTCCACTATGAATTAGATAGAGAAGTCATTAAATTAGACGAAAAACAAAGATTAATGGTCTACAAATTTTTATGAATTTACCCTAAACGTAATTTCTAACTGCGTAGAAAAATTCATGGCACAAAATGCAAATGCAACCCTTGAGACTTCCATTCTTGTACTCCTTCAACCGATGAATGAACCCTATTTGGAAAACTTTCCCGAATGCTTGTCCCATGCAAAAATTCTTCAGCTAAAACTGCCTATGCTTTCCTTCCTCGAAAGTGAGATTTAAAGGCAGCTTCCCATCAGACTGGGGGTACTTGGCTCTGGTAGTAATGTAATAGTAGACCCCCTAGCTAAGCGACTACTGAAGTTCGCAGCCCGAAAGGGGGTCTACGAGGTCTACAAATCGCCTCTTGAGTGGTCCGAATCTTACGGTAGGCTGGGCGAGTGCGAGATGCATGCAAGGTAGAGACGCAGAGTCGTTGCGGGACTCTGTGCTCATGACTGTGTGCGCTACGCACTCTTGCCTTGCAAATCGATATTGCTGTGTGGGCGGCGCCCGGGCTTACCGTAAGATTCTGACACTTTCGGAGCAAATTTCAGGCATGGTAGACCCCCTCTTTCGCTCCGAACTTCAGTCATCGCTTGGGTAAGGGGTCTACTTTAACATCGCCACAAAACCCGGCACCCATCTTTTTGCCGGGACGCTGCCTTTAAGATAAGCGCACTTGGCATGATTTTGTAACATGCTTCGTAGCTATGTGAAGCTCTCCAACGAAGCATAATAATCGAACTGGTTCTCTGCGCTACTTGGTGGCTCAATGAATGGTTCAAAACCAACCGCAAGCAAGCAGGTTTGCTCGACTCGGGTGGACGTTCTTGCACAGCAACCGAAAGAGAAAGTTATTTCTGCAATGTTGAAGGACCCTTTTTTCGTAAAGGTGCATTCTGAGAGAAAATAAAACTTCTAAAAGTCACATATGACAGACCGTTGTTTGGTATGTTAGGTATGTTTGGCCAAAACTCATTTATTTTCGTCATATTAAGCTTTTGTAATCACACGAAAAACTGAAGCAGAGCGAAAAAGTTCTACACGACTCTCATTTGACATTTTAAGGCCTTGCTGTAAAAGCATATGATACGAGAAAATTGCCATGTGGCGTTGGCTCTTGCTCAATAATTCTTTACGATCGCTTATCGCAATAAGAATAATCCCGCAGCTGTTGATATGAAATGAGGACAACAAGCTTCGATTCTGCATTACGAAAATAAGCCGATGACGTTGATTCAATGCAGCGTTTCAATGGCTAATAAAATTTCTATGAAAGCAAACAACGAAATGAATAGATGTTGTTGCTAACAAGGGAACCATGTGTAAAAAAGTAGCCTTTTTAAATGAATTGTTCAACAAATTAAAGAGCATAAAACGCTGATTCCAAATCTGCTTTCCTTATTTGCGGAACGTTTGTGGACGAGGAGGTATGAGCGTTTATTAGATCAAAAAATTAAATGTGAATTTAGGGTAAGATATGAAATTTTCCCAGCACTTGAATAAAGCAACTAAGTGTGATATATTTTTCAATCAGAGTATTCATTGATTAACTCTGGTAATCAGTGCTATAGTAAAGCGCTAGAAAAAATATCACGACATTTTGTCCTATTTGCACACGTAATTTTTGCTCTAATAAAAGCTCATAACTTTTCGTCCATAAACGTTCCGCAGATGAGGAAGGCAAGCTTGAAATTGATATTTTATTCTCTTTGATATGGTATACATCTTTTCTTAGAAGGCCACTTCAACCAAACACTCTTCCCTTGTAAATATGCTAATTAATGGTTACTTTACTCTCCTACATATTCGTGATTATCGGAAAGAATTTTTCAGTCTTTTAACTTTTATTTGATTCCATACTATGTTAACTAACATACCAACAAGTCTAATCCTAAAAGATGCATATGCAACTTTCAAAACTTTCATACTTGCATTTTCTCAAGAGGTAAGTGATCCACCATTAAGATCACTAAGCCCTGGTCCCCATGTAAGAAATTTCATCTAGCACTACCTTTCCATCGCCGAAAGTGATTTTCTAGAGATTAGCGCACTTGGCAACATTTTGTAAAACATGCTTCGTAGCTATGTGAAGCTCTCCAACGAAGCATAATAATCGAACTGGTTTCTCTATGATGCTTGGTGGCTCAATAACTGGTCCAAAATCGTCTGCAAGCAAGAATTTAGCTTCGGTCGACTGCGGATGAAGGTGAATTTTTTCCGACGACTACCGTGCATAAAACAGGATTCTGTTTTTTGTAAGTTGTTTATATATCAGAACTTATTTCGACCATATCGACTACACTCCAAAAATGTTTAGGTATGATCGATCCCCTAAACTGTCCTTGATCTGGAAGCAATTTCATACAGGCGCATGAAATAGCGATGCAATATAATTCAAGGTTTACAAGCACTTCAAATCTTTCAGTTTCAAAGACCTTCAATTGATCATGCTATGGTGGGAGGCTGTACTGGCCTCACAACCTTTCTTTTGAAATGAGGTCGCACTATTTTCTAAACAGCGAAATCGCTCTCAATAACATTGATGCGGAGAAAGAAGCAACAAAAACTTGCAAGCTTGCAGAAAAGGTTTGCATGAGACCTCACAAGTGCAGAAATGACCTTAAGATTGACCTTGAGGTGGCAAAGTTGTCGATCAACACAAAATTTCTCCATGTTACGAAGACAGCTTCAAACGAGCAACTCCTTCTCTAGCACGTTAAAATAGCTTGTAGAGCGCTGATAATAAAGTAACCCTGCTCTCCCGAACTATGCGACGTGAACAAGATACACCATGAAAACTTTTAACCAAAATCACATGCGCTCGTTTATGTGATTCGAAAACGAAACATTCAGTACGCAACCAGAACAGACATCGTTTACAATGCAAATGTCGTACTGAATTATGATGATAGTACTTTTTCTGGGTACAAAGATTACCACTAGAATTAGAGATGCCAATGCTTTGGAAGTGATAAGAAGAATAGGGGACACCTCAAAGGCTATTTTCGATTTCAAGGAACAGTAATCAAAAGTGAGTCACCAACTAAAGAGAGTACGACCCACATTTTAGCCATTCGATTTCACTCAAAAAGAAGAACAAGTAGAAAGTGAAAATGAGATCATTGAAAAAGACAAAAATTTCTTCCGCAAGTTTGATTCGATTTTCGGAAAATTTGAAGAAGTTGTTGCAATTTAGAAACAAGAATATGTTGCTCGCGTAATTCACTCCCCATGTAGAGCACTTCCGAAAATGTAAAGCCCCCCGCCCTCCCTCCCCCCCCCCAACCCCGATCTCGAATCAAAGACGTGTAAGCAGATCATCGACCTATATGCCAGGGGCGTACCGAGGGGGGGGGGCGGGGGGGGGGGGGCGCGCGCCCCCCCCCCCCCGAGAACGGGTCGCGAAATTTTTGAAAGTTACTTACATGGGTTATAAAAATGTGCAAGTGACTTGTTTTTACTTGTAAATAATTAAAATAATTTTTAAAATTTTTTAAAAATTCATTTTAGCCTTATAAAAAATTTTTTTCGGGGGCGTGGCTGACGCCACGCCCACTTTTTCCAGATTTTAGGGGTCGGGGACCCAAAAAATTTGGGAAGCACCCCAAAAATTTTTTCGGAGTGCGTGGCTAACGCCACGCACCTTCTTTAGAAAAAAATTTTTGTCGCGCCCCCCCCCCCCGAGCCGAAATCCTGGGTACGCCACTGCTATATGCATATTTTCGTGCCACTTTCCAAAAATTTTTCGCAGTCTTATAAAACGTTATTTGTCGCCAACAAAAAATGTACCTTCGCTTTGAGCTTTTACAGAAATTACCACTTAACCAAGATTCGAAATATTGATTAAAAAGAAAACTCGAAAACTTTAGGCTCAGATACAAAAAATAACTTACCGTGCACCAATAAAGTATTCGGTTCCATATAGATGGGTGGAAAAATCGCTCCACTTGTAAGTGAGATATGACTCGGCCGCGACGATCGGGAACGATTGGGAGACAAGTCTGCGAATAGCGGATATCAAGTAGACGACGAGACGATGGCCAAAGCCAGATTAGATTCAAGGCGCTTTAGGTTGGGTGACTAGCGACGATTAGTTAAAACAAAAATGCTGTTCGATGGAGGTTTGGACAAAAATAGAACAAAGAGAGAATTTGGGAGGATTAGGAAAACTTACGAGGAACGTTTGGGTGCCTAAACTTCAAAAACATAGGCGAAGAAAGAGCAAATTTGAAAGAAGGTAACTGAACCGATAAACGGTCAAACATGAAAACAATGAAAACAACTGACTCATGATTTTTTTATAAACTTTCGATAACAACGGGTATCATACAATAACAATAACAAACAACTTTGTAACAAACTAGCCAACAAAGATATGATTGATTTGTGCAGCTAACAAACTTCAGAGGAAACCTATGTGACTGAGACCGATTTAAACACATTTTCGAAATTTGTGAAATTCAAACAAAATACAGCCATCCCAATCAATAGCGGATGTTCCCGGCCGCACGGCACCTGACATGGTCTGGCAATTGAAGTACAAACATCGGAGAGCGGAAAGGGGGGGGGGGCGCATGGAGCGAAAACCAAAAGCAATCAGAGGACAGGAACGCAGACGTAAACAAGCGTCTTCTTCTTGCTCTTCTTTCTCGCCATCCGAGTCACTCGTAGTCTGGCGTGGACCACTTTGATTCCCGTTTTGCGAGTTCTCCACCATTTGCTGCTCTTCACCATAATGGACAGGCAGGATGATGATTACGTGGGTACGGGCATCTTTTTCTACCTGCAACTAAAGCTACAACATGTTTTGGGCACTTTATGTAGGAATGGAACTAATCTACAGTTGTTTGCGGGAGCAGACAATATGTGTCGACAGATCCACTCATAGCGAAACCCTCAAGTGGAAAATGATCCCGAGATCTTGACCAAAAAATTGCCAAAGGTCAGCTCAGATAGTTCACTCGCGTCCGAGTAATCCAACTTAGAACTCTTGCCCAGTACCGTAATCTGATCAGTCAGCGCCTCTGAGTACGGTATTGGGAGAACTCGGAGTTGAACCTCTTGAAGACGAATATTATAATTACCTGCTGAACAATGGCTTAGTTGAGGCCTACCCAAACTAGGAACCCTAATATATCCAGATTCGTTTGTACACCGCCTATATTTCGCAAAATAGCTATCGACAAAAAATGTTCATGATTACCGTAGAGATAATAACACAATTTGTTCTATAATGTTTTGAATACTTTTGTAAAATCGTACATTAGACGACCTGTCCCTATTTATGGCAACACGCAACAAAACATTCAGCAAGTATTTGTTTTTGCAGGCAGATTAGGGATGAAAAACAAAAAATTGAGGTCACCTACACATCAAAAACATCTACGTTCCAAAATACGAGAGAGGGTGGAATTGTACGATAGGATTACGATGGGCTACGGTTTAACAACGCGGAAGAGAGAGATTTTCCAGGTGAACTTGCAGACCACCTAACTTTTTTTGTACAACTTACGCAACTGTTTCAAGGTCAATTATGTTGGACAGATGAAACTCAACCTCGATGAAAAGATGCGATTTGAGAGCCTAGCAAAAGAAACTCAGAACAAAGAGAATGCCATTTAAAGTATCTGTCTTGCAGTTTTGAAGGCGTCCAGGCACAATAACAATTTGTTTCTCAACTGCTATATAAAAAAGCGCTTATACTCACTAATCAGTCACATGGTAACCAAGGAAACATAACTTCATATTTCAAAAGTATTCCTCAATAAAGTGAATGAAGATTTTTGAAATTTCAAACAAGAAGATAGAGTACAAGCTAATAGACAAGACACTGCGAGCAAACTGTAGTTCTAGACTGCAGCTTCATAAATTTTGTGACGTATGTACAAGAAACAAATGGACTGAATTAATGCGTCAGCTATGCTGATTATTACGCGCGGCATGACGTTGGGGCACAAGAAAAGACCGTTTCTGATAATCTGCGACTGAATACGATTTGCGAACATGAAGCATACCGTCTCGATCGATGCAGTTGAGTTTCTTACCTAAGTAAACTACTGGGTAACTTTCCATTGATTGAATATAGAAAGCGAACACTCGAGCTCAGGAGAAACTGCTTCTTTTTTGTTACGATGGCTTTGATAGAAACATGCGGTTCCAGCACGTCAAGGGCACGGCGCTAACACGGGCAATTCTGGACGCAGCCTTACAAATACATAATCTTGAAAAAATGGAGAGATAGCTTTATCAGGAGGGGCTTGAGGCGCTTGACAACGCTGTTCTGAGAATCGGTTGTTCAAAAAAAGCGAGAATACTTTTAGGAATAACACATCCCGAAACGCCCATTATTTTTATTTTTACAAATGGGATACAGAAAAAGGCTGTGATTGTTGGTTTCTGTTTTCAATTTCTTTCTGGGACAAGCAAGTTGAGACAAATTGAGAGCTACTACGCTGTGAAAAATAATCATTCAAAGATGTTTTTCTAATGAATTTCATACATAAGAACGGCAATCGTTTGACAATAGCACGAAAGAAGCAGTGGAAAATTTAGAGCCAGAAAGGGTGCAAAACTTCTGAAAATGTTCTCATGGAATTTGCCGTGAATAATTAGGATAACCTTTTGAAATGTATTAAGATTGAAGTTAACATTGTAAAAAAATTTTTTTTTCTTCGCGTGTAATGCCAGATCCTCTTCTCTTTTTTCAGAGTTGTAGGTTCGCAAACATGCTGAATAGTGAAATCCGAAAATAGCTAAGTAACACAACGCCAACTTTCTAAAAAAAGATTTCTGTTACGCCTCCCCTCCTCTAAAAGTCTTCAAAAATAACCATGCAAGTCTCCCGCGAATTCCAAGAAGCCTTGAATGATTTCACAGATTGGTGCACTATAAAAAGAATTCGTGACTCATTCTAGATTATATACGTTAACGAGCGGATTATACGTTGAATATGGTCAAAATAAAGTATTCCACCTCGAAAGTGGAGGACTTTCATCTACAAAGCTAACTTGCTCACATTCTCTAGCAGCATAAATTCACTGTAGACGACAGTATGCAAACACTCGCTAGGGAAAAGAACGAAGTGCACTTCTGCGTAATGCTAAGAACAGATACAACAGATGTTCATTCGGCTTTTGCAAGACTGCACGATGTTCTCCGCTTACGATGTCCCTGTTCTTGGCAACTTTGAGCCGACTAGCTCAAATTTCTATCGATAGCAGCAGTTTATTTCGCAAGGAAACAAGATCTTTGAGCAATTTAGCGGAGGTATAGCGGAGACAAGTGCAGACTTTAGAATCAATGCCACCGTGAATCGTAAACATATGGGCGCTGCAATGCAAACAAAGATAAAATGAGCATAAAAAGTGGGAAGAAAACTCTTGATGGTCTAAATTTATTCAGGTCAACAAGCTGAATTCAAAGATTTGCATCGCTTACTCACCGCTGGCACGACGTTCTCTGCCCCGCTGCTATAGTCAAAAGAGATCCGTCAACAGAAAAACCGAATGTCATTTATGAAGCCGGTCTGAGAAAAAAGTGTATTAGATGCATGTGAAATCGGGAAGTTGAAGCTGACAAGTACAACTCCAAAAAACACAAGCAAAGAACTAGTGCTTTGAGTGCAGGGTACAATACCAGATGAGAGAAAAACTCAAAAGAGCGATGTAAAATCACTCCCCCAAAATTTAAGGCAGGCTGTCAATTCAAAATAACCGTGTTAGCGCATTCGAAAAAAAATATAGTAAACAGTCACGAAGGACTAACCATTTCTTTTGACAAAACATGCGCGCACTTTTGTAGTCAGTGGCCACCTTCCATAGCCTCAGTTCGCCGTCATCAGATCCGGTTGCCATCAGCTCTAGAACTTTTAAAATAAATTGCGCGTACTTTATCAAAGAACAATGATAAATATGCCATTCATTGCCATTCAATCCCTCGCATACCAGTCTTACCAGGCGACCACCATCAAATCAGAGGGCAAAAAACTTCGAATTCTGGAGCTTTTCGTATCTTGTAGGCTATAGGAAAATCCCAAAATCAATTTTTCCCACTCTCAGATTCAAATATAATCTCATTGCAGACTCTCGAAATGGAAATTCCAAGCAGTAATTGATATTCAACTTTTTTATGCTCTATGTGAACCGCTTCAGCAATTTTAAAGCATATCTCCACAGATGCATAGCAGTGAAATTACATCCATAAACAAAAAAAAGGTCAAGAGACTCTCGTGATGGGCTACTTACCAAAAAAGGCACTGCAGTCATGCAAATCACCCATCTTGGACCACCAGATGCCTTCAGGCCATGAATAAGTTTCCGTACCATCAATGATTTCTTTTTCCATATAGACCATAAGCAGATCTGAAAAAATATGCGTAGTCAGATTGAGATGCAAGAAGTGCTGATGTAGGACGACGCAGGATTCAGAGAGATCTAGTCTAAGTTTTCAAATAAAGTGGGCCCAAATCTGGACAGCTGAATTTTCTATATGGATAATGTTTGAATGCAGTCATTTATTAAGACACTGCCCAGATGGTACCTCATACAGAGCTTCCGTTGCTAAAAAGTTCGATACCTACTCAAACACTTCACCGGAACTTCCGCAGGACAAGCAGAATTTGCAGCGGTGTAGGATTTTCCTTACTAGTACAAAAGTGGAAAAGTTGGGATTGGAAACTTCGCAGGATTTTTTTATGTCAGACTGGTTGAAAACGGGAACTTCCGCAGGACTTGTTACAAAACGCTGCGGAAATCCCGAAAATGCCAGTGGTTCAGCAGCACTTTGGCCTGACAGTACACTTCGAATGTGTTGTCTCTTACGATGCTGTCTCGCCAAAAACTCAAATGATTTCTGGAACATGACTACCCGTCTCAACCCTTCCCTCCCCCCTTCCTTCCCCATTAGTATCCGAATAAAAAGCACAAAAAGCACACTTTCTGGAAACTGCCTCCAAAATCGGTAGATTCTTTTATTTACGAAAAGTGCCAAACAAAATCAAAAACCAGCACCTTTCATTCTAAAAAGCGGTGCGAGTGAAAGAAGAGCTAGGCAAAGGACAAGAGACAAAAGAGCAGACGATCGAGAATAGAACAAGCAAAGCTGCAGGTGTAAAGAAAAGTAAACGTGCGGCGTACGACTGCTTGAGCTGGCTTATTCGTCTGCAGCAATCACAATCGAAGGACAAAAACGACACCAGATATGGGCACTCGACAAGCTTTTTGTCGACATAGGCTAGATTGCAGTGTTTGTTGATGAATATGAGGGGATCCGTCTCATGACAGATTATTGTCGGTGTACTTATCACGAGGGATAACTCTTGTCGTTCATCACTCAGCGTCCTGCTCCCAAATGCCCCATGAAAGCTTCAGCTGACATCGTAAAAGCATTATGGTCTTGACTGGTGATTTGCGGCAAACAATTAGTGCCGTTATGCCACCAAACAGCTTTGACGCAAGCCATCGCGTTTTAGCAAATAGTAGGTAGCAATCTCGCATTCTTTTTCGAGAAGGGGGAAAACCCAAAGCCGGGTGGAAATCTCCTATAACAAAGGGATTGAGGAAAGCTTTGGCAAGCTCATGATCCTTGAAGAGATTTTCAAACTTCTTGCAACTCACACAATGTCAGAAAATCTTAAAGGCAGCGTCCAGGCAAATCTAAACATACATATGAGGATCTAATATGGATAGTAATTATGGAGCCCTAACTATGCCACTGCCCAAGCGGCAGCTCAGGTAGTAGTGCTCTAACGACTGAGATATTCGCGTCAAAACTAGACCCCGGGGTCCTCGAGGCGAATATCTAAACCGTTTGAGCACTACCTGAGCTGCCGGTTGGGCAATGGCTTAGTTAGAGCCCCAAAATTACTATCCACGTGAGAGCCCCATAGCACAGATTTGCCTGGATGCTGCCTTTAATGAAGCTGATTCACTTTCAAAAAATTTAAAATTTTATTTTAACAGAAAAACAGGTTTTCAGGTTTCTAGCCTATAGACCACTTCAAAAAATTTCGCGACCCGTTTTCTGGAGGGGGGGGGGGGCATTTCTTACAAGAAAAGTGAGTAACGTTAGCCGAACCGCAAATGTGTCACAGTGTCAGATTACAGCCCATTACATCTTAATTCTTACAAGCAGCAGAGTTGAGGCTTTTAGAAATCGCTGCGACATAAAAAAACAGGTAGACCGTGATAAGACAGCTTTAAAGCAAACAACAAAATCATGACTTATAATAAAAAGCTAAGGGTGTTTATGTGTTTTTGTGTGTCTGTCTGTCTGTCTGTTTGTAACGAAATTCACAGAACAAGTCGCAGACAAGGTTTCAAGCCGCAATTTTTTGCACAACACGCACTGCCACCATCCAGATTCACCACGCCAAAGCACGAGCAGATCCGTTGAGTAGGCCCCTTGAAAATCGCACCCCAAACGGATCCACTCAACGTCTGGCGCGCAATATTGGGTTCGTATTACCACTTATTGCAAAGTCGTGATTAGGCTTGGCAAGTGAATGTGCAAGCCGTGATCTTTAGCCTAAAAATAGTGATAGAAGTCTACTGCTCCACAAAAACGGCGCCAAAACGAATTATTTGCGTAAATGATCAGTTTGCCAGATTTTTACCTGAGCATTTGAGAAGATTTTTGCACAGGGATGTAGCTCACCGTTGATATTATCCTTGTGGTGACTACCAAGCCATGAAATAATTCAAAAGTGTTCTAATTCTGCATTTGTTCTTCATCTTCCAAAGTTTCATCCACGCAAAATACCGATCTCACACGGAAAAGCTTTGGGAATGAGTAGTTGTATACGATTCATTCGTGAAGGTGGGCATTGCGCGGTATGTTTCAAAGTTATGTTAAGCGGGAACGAGTATATGGCATATAGATAGAGGAGCCAGTGCGACCCTCTGCGAAGCAGAGGTGACGCACTGGTGAGCCAAAACGTCGGCAAATTTTAAAAGACACTTTTCGGAGGGACGAAACGTAACAATAACCTTTAAAAGGCAGACATGGAGAGGAAGATTCACAAATGCAGGTGCAGGAGGCGGCTGACATGGCATGCACGCATCGAATTATTTGAAGAGTTGATGCAGTCTTTTAATACACGGAAGTGTTATTAAAAATTGTGAAAATCAAACAAAGATGGATAAATATCAAAAATGGCTATACGACTACGAAAATCGAGTACAGACTTTTTAAACTTACAAAACTTCTTGAAACATCTTCAGAAAAGCTGACATCGGAGCATTATTATTATTCGATCATTTCAAGAGCGCGGACAAGAAGATATCTCAATTGGTTAGAATTTATGGTAGGTTTATAGCTGAAAGGTTCAGAGAGATGATCATATAATCTCACAATCAGTGCTCATTTATCTGAGTAGGAGATCATTATCAGAGTAGCTGAAGCACAGATTGTGGCCACTACAATCGATGAGACTGGACGCAGCTGACTGAACAGTGGACATTGCACTAAAAGTGCTTTTATGAATAGCGTTTACTCACAGCGTGAGATCAGATGAGGAACATGACGAAATGAAGGCTACCGGATCACTGGCGATATGCGAGTGTATGCCCAGAGGCGGTATATAACAACCTCCCGTTCAGGTAGGTGTTACCGTACAGGTCGTAATCCACTCGAATGCAGTCTCCCAAGGCTCATAATGCGCGAACGTGGGCGCCTGACCGTGCAAGAGCCCGGTCATGCAAAATCGGGTGGGTCTGAAATGCCTGGACACCTACCCGATCTCGTTTGTGTATGAATTGTGTGAAAAAAAAAAACGCGTCTCTTTGATTAGGTGGCCGAAAACGTTAGCAAATCGAGCGATTCAATCACTAGTCATCGAGTAAGCTTTAATGATTGTATGTTGCAAGAGATTTGTCTATCTTACCATTTGATATCTCGAGATTTGAAGATATTCAGAGCACTGTATGAAGAGAGATCGGGCTCTGAAATTTTTGTAAATTTCATGATCAATCAAACCAAATGTTAGATCAGACAATTATCTTGCAACATAACAATTACTGAATCTTACTAGATGACTAGTGATTAAATCTCTCGATTTGCTAACGTTTTCGTTCATTTATGCAAAGAGACGCGCTTTATCACACAATTATACACAAACGTGGTCGGGCAGGCGTCCAAGCATTCAGACCCACCCGATTCTGCCCAGGGTTGAGCAAGAGGTCAGGCACAAGTCCTTCAAAAACGACCCCCCTGTGAAAGCCCCTAAAATAACCCCTCCACTTCACCTCCAGGACATTAGACTGTGATATTTTGAAGCAGACCAGACTTTACTGAAGGGTTCTTATTTTCTGGCCGCAGGTCCAACTTTCTGCGATTGCACAATCACACGCAACTTGACGGCAAGTCTTGAACTTGAACAGCCCACTTTTCAGAGTTATAGTTTTTGCAGGGCTGGAGTGTTTGGCTCCAAATTTTCAATATGGCAAGAAGAGGCTTTGCGCTCAATACTCATACTAGAAAAGGAACGATTTTTGAATATTGAAGGCAAGTTAAGGGGGTCAGGCGCAACCCCACAAAAGCTCAGGCGGCCTGACCTTTTGAGGGGTTGCGCCTGACCCCATTAACTTTATTTTCTAGGGAGTTTTTCTATCCAAGTTTTATGTGATTCGCTAGCACAACTCTCGAAGATTCCACAATAAGTGTTTGAGCTTGTTTCGACTTGTTTCGGCCTTGTAGTAATCCGTAGAGTTAAAGCACTTAATGTAAAGAACGCGCCGGTTGGAAATTTGGCAGCACTTCTTACTTCACTATTTAAAAGCGATATGAAGCCTGATTTCTAGCATAGACTTGTAGAGAACGTTACTTTGTTATGAGTATAAAAAAGCTGACTATTTTCACTTTTGAAGCCAAGTTAATCATGTTTGAAAATCACGCTTTCTAGACGTTGCGAAACACTAGAAAATGCGATAGGTAATGACTTTAGAGCTCATAGAGGTGATCTGACATGCTGATTACGGAAATAATACCCATTTCACACAGCAGGCTTACTTGGCGACTCCATGACATGTGGAGGTAAAAGATGAAGACTTGAATTTGGCTGAAATTTCGATTGTGGAAACAATCAATATGCTGTTTACGACCGTCATTCCTTCAGTACCGGTGATTGCGATATCCACCGGACTAGCGCACTTCTTCTTCACCCTTCATAGTATCTCCCCAATTGAACTAATTCGGTTCTTGATTACGACCCCCCCCCGGCCATACCCCCAAGGCGACCCCCAAGGTCGGGCGCGCCTGACCTCACGCTCAACCCTGATTCTGCCTGACCGGGCGCTTGCACGAAAACGCGCCCATGTTCGCGCATCACGAACCTTGGGCGACCGCATCTGAGTGGA